AGAGAGAGAGAGAGAGAGAGAGAGAGAGAGAATTTTAATATTTGTTTTTTAGTTTTTCGGCGGACACAACATCTTTGTTTGTATGTGGTGCTGAGGTTCGAACCCCGGCTGCACGCATGCCAGGCGAGCAAGCTACTGCTTGAGCCACATCCCCAGCCCACATTTTGGTCTTAAATACTCATGAGTCAATAAATATATTTTTTCTTGTTGATAGAAAAAGCTTATGAGAAAGAGTGGTGACAATTGCCCAACACAGACGAAAAATAAATTATTGACAGAGAGGAAGAGAGGTGGTGATGGTGGGGTGGGGGTGAAAAGAGAAGGAGAGAAAGAATAAGGAAAAAATGAGAATTTCTTTTTAAGGAAAATAAATATTATTTTCAAATGTCTATGTCACATACAGTCACCACATGAATCACAATTGGTGATCCGTCTCACTTCACACAGCAACCTCAGTAACTCTTTACTCCATGTAAAATAACTCCCATAATTTTGATCAGAAGGTAGAGAAGGATGTAAAAATGTGAATACTTACAAAAGCCAAAAATATAAGACCTAAAATTCAAAAGTCAAAAACTATAATGTGGTTACTGAAAAGAAAAGCAGTTGGTTGAGATATGGGTAATAAAAGCTGAAGAGTGATGGAAATACAAATACAAGTAATTCAGAAATAAATGTGCATCTACAAATAAATGTATCTACTTAAATGATGATAATAACTGTTTCACACTGTGCATTATAAATACTCTTGCACATTTTCTCTCTAGGCAGATTAGCTGATCCAAGCCAAAGGACAGACTGTGGCTATGAATCTGATCATCTGTGTGTCTCTGTGGACAGTTGGTGGGCTGGTAGGTTCACTTAGAGAGCAAAATAAATATTACCATTTCCAAAAAGAAGACATTCAACCTAAAACTTTGGGACTGAGACTAAACAAAATCAATACTCTTTATTTTAAAAATGAATAAAATGAATCTAGGGTTGAGGGTGTAGCTCCGTGGTAGAGTGCTTTACTAGGTTGAGCAAGGTCCTGGGTTCAATTACTGGTAGTGTAGATAAATTAATAAATAAACACAACAGAATTAGTTTTACATGTTCCTAGTGTCCTTTAGGTCATGCTATAGACTTTACTAGCCACAATGTTCATAATCATATATTCACCTTTTCATAGAACTCCAAGGGATCAATGCTGAAAGTTATATGGCATGTCCTAAAAGTGACAGGGAATATTTGGAAAGTGAAATACTAAGAAGTGTGAGATTAGGAAAACACTGCTTTTCATTCTGCTTTTCATTCTCAATATATTAAGTATTAAAATTCATAAACGTCAGAGAATACCTACTGCATTCCATTTTATCATTCAGTAATCCAGGGCTTCAGTTATACACTTAATGCTAAAATAACAAGAAATGATTTTCTATATCTTTAATTTCATGTTTAAGTCATGAAAATAAATTACAGAACAACATTTTAGAAATATTTTCCAATTATTAGAAACAAGAACACATTAAATTTTACTTTCTCAGAGTAACACTCATGATATATAACCCTACGTTTTTTTCCTCGTGCTACCCTGGGTCTTTATTCTCAAAAACTCACCAACAGTTCTACCTACAGATCTAGAGTTTGAGCTTCATTGGTCTCGGATTAGTCTAGTAGTTTGAATCATCATCCTGTTACACTGGAGCATAGGACTACATGCAGGGACAATCAGTATAAACCCAATATCTAATTAAATTAAGGTATCTAAATCTTCTGGAATAGGTTATCTGTAGGGAGATATTTTAAAGAGTCTTATTAAATTGTCAATCTAATTGTTTATTAATCTAATGATTTATTGCCGGAACTTATAAATAAATTTGCTTTAGAGACACAGAATAAATAAAAAACCTAGTGATTACATGATAAACTTAAATATGTTAAATAGAAAAGATCCATTAATCAAAACTATAATCATGTTAAAGTATTTTAGAAAAAAAATACCATTCACAGTACTACCTCAATGAGAGGTTTTGTATCTTTCCCTGGGCAATGTGATAGTTTTTTTTTTTTTTCCTTTCTAATGTAGTGCTTTAAAAATCAATATTGCCCAATCCACTAAAAATGATCCTTTTCTTTAAAATATTATAATCAAGTACTTTAACCAATATATATTCATGATTATAGGATTATTAACTGAGGCACAACAAAGTTACCTATATGATTCCCAGAGGGATTCTGTACAATATTTTTTTCAATGTGCTAAAATGTTATCACCTTTCTGGATTTGTAAATTTCTCCTCAATGACCTGTGGCTTACTTAAAAATATGCTCTTCAACATTTATTACTGCTTATGGTAATAATAAATCTTTTGTTCTTACAGATTTAAATTATTTTCTTAGTGTAATACCTTTCCTTGCTGCGGTTGATTCTGGCGTTCTGGGGATATCATCAGACCAAATCAGATTTTTGCCACCACCCAAGGATCAGACGAGGTTTTGTTATGATGTTTCTGGCTGCCACTCATCCTTCCCTGAGATAATGAAAAAGTGGATTGTCTTTTACCAGGTTTCTTCTTCAAGTTTTATAATTTATACTTTTAGCATATTAAAATAATTTGTTCTGTTGTATAACTTTTTTTGTTCAGGATTTTTTTGTGTGCATTGTACAATATTTTTCTTAATATAAAAATATACGTTGTTATGCTAGATACGTTAATAATATATATTTTACTAGGGCATTACATGTCATTGACATTACCACCCCAATGCAGCATTAACACAAATTCTATGCATTCTTCTTTCCTCAAACTATGATACAAATTGTCAACACACAGGCTATTCTACTGCAGGTGAATAGGTTAGTATGCTTAATTGGAATTTCAGGTCAACTGTAATTTTAGAAGAAATGTGGTAATAGAATTGTGTTTGGATCAATAATCTCATTTCAGCTAAATTAATAATTAATCACCTGTGGTAGAAGCAAACAATTATCTGTTGTTCTGAATTAAATATTCAATGACCAAAACAAAATACATTGGTCAAATATAGATATGGAATAAAATCCATAATGAAAAGATATATTTATTAGTTGTTTAGATTAATTCATTAATTTAGGTATAATTAAACTTAACATTACAATAGTTTTTTTCTTCTTGCTGTTCATATTTTATGATAATTTAATAATGTTTGTGGGAAAAAAGTGACAAAAAAGATTTCTGGCCAGTATAAAATTATGGACTCTTTGTAGATATTTGAAGTTTACTTCTTCTATATGCATGTGCTTTACTCAATATAAAAATTTTTCTTTTGCCCTTTACAAAGGATTATAGACAAAGGCTTTATACCTATTAATGCTTAAAAACAAAATCTTCCTTTCATGTAGAATATTGTGATATTATAAATCTGAACAAAATTAAATTTCAGGGAAAGGAATTGTTAGAGTCTCTCAAATCCTAATAAGTTTCTCCTTTTCAGTATCTGAAGTTACCTACTAGTAACTTTGATGACCTTTTGAAATACCTATGGGATGCACATACCATATCCTTGAAAACCTCTGTCAAATCTTTTGAAGATAGGTAAGAATGGAACTGAAGTCGTTTCTCTTTAATATGATAAATGATTTTTGTCTTATACATACCATTTTCTTCTTCTTCTTCTTCTAGAGTGATAGTATTTCTTCAATCTTAGTGTTGAATAGCAGGTCTAATCAATGGGAATTACAGTGATGAGGAGTAAATAAGTTATCATGATCTAGTTTAGAAGGTATTTTATGGTGAGGGGAGGAAATATGAGCCAAAAGAACTGCATTATAAAACAAATGACATGCAATGAACTTTTCTAATTTTACAAATAAAAATATAAATATGTGGATGATTTATATATATATATATATATATATATATATATGACAGTGGTATATACTGGAGAAAATATCAACTAGAATCATGGTTAGCCACACAGTATCTAGATTATCAATCTCTCCTTATACTGTGTGGCACAGAAAGCAGGTATAATAATGATTTGGGTTTGGCAGTGAATGGCACTCTCTAGGCAATGGAAACCTAAGTTTGGCAAAAAGCAGAAACAAAGTAAGGATGATTCACTGGTATTAAACAAGTAGATAAGTAAATCCAGGCAGCCATATCTGAGTCTTTTTTATATCTCTCACTCATCTTTTTCCTACCCACTCAATCTTCTTCAAGGCAAATGCTTGGTTGGCTGATCATAGGGCATTTTCTCCTCTTCCTGTTGATATGGTTTCAACAACTGGGTATTAAATTAGTCTAGGAAGAGTTGAACCCCTTGCAGTGTCTGTGATTTAATTTGGGGCTGTACCCATCACAGAAGCTGGGACTCAGTTGCTCCTTCTATAGTGATTGTGGGAAACAGATAAAATTATCCCACTAGGATCTTGAGTAGGGATGATCAACCTTGCTTGATATTTTTGATTGATGATAAATTAATGCCACAGACTATGTTTTTCATTTTCAGGTTATCTGGTTTCACAAAGTAAGCCAATAGAAAAGTATAACTTTGAACACAGGAAACATGGATATTTTAAACTCAAAGAGAGCCAGAGCTTTAGCTCAGTGGTAAAACACTTGCTTAGTATTAGTGAGGTCCTGAGATTTATCCCCAGCTCTGAAAACACACACATAAAAAAGAAAATTTAAAGATACTATGGATTTTTCACTTTTTAGTTTTGTTTCCTTTCCCTTATGAATTTAGATATTCAAGTACCTTGTCTTTATTTCTATTTGTACAATGGAATTATATTTGAAAACAATTGTATCTCTAACAGGCCAAATTTATTTAAAAATTGGTCAAAAAATCATCATTCCTTTTCCTGATAATGAAACTGTGCCTGAGTTGTTCGTGAAGGTGCTTAAAATCTTATAGCAGGACAGAATATCAGGACAGGTATGCAAACTCCCTGACTCATCTTCTCATCTTGCACACTGCAGTCTATCCTGCACAGGAATTGAAAACTGGATTTCAAAGATCAATTCTACAAAGATTTTCCCTTATTCTTTAAGCTGAATTAAGAATAAAAGTATGCCTGAACATTTGTAATGTATAATTAACAGTAACAAATGGAACAGAAATAGAAGGTGAAAATTACTTCGTTTTGAGAGGAATTTTGAATACTGAGAAGAGCTAGTTCACAGCTGCCCTCACTTAACTGAGCAAAATGCCCTGTGCACCTCTTGTCCCTCCCATTCAGGAAGGTCATAGGACAGCTGAATGTGAGTAGAGTATCCTGCTCCAGGAGGGAGGAGGGAGACAGGCCTCAGAGTTGGCCCGCTGGTCCTGCTGCTGCTACTTACAGAACTCTGCAGAGATCATTCCTTGTCTTCTGTTTATTTTCAATTGAATTCAGATGTGATTTTAAAAAATTATTTACTCTAATTTGTATTTATTTATATACTTTTTACATGTTAATGGTTTAAAAAGTCAAATAATTCAAATAGTATTTTCTTCTCCCCCGCCCCCCCCCAAAAAAAACCCACCATGGATATACCACCGCTATCACCACTTACTTAATTATTTGTGTATTTACTATAATATTTTCTGAAACACATAAGACTTTTCATTTAATTTTCAGCTTTAGGAGTATCCTGTGACACTACTTCAAATATTCTACCTATAACCTCTAATTAACAAGGTCTGTTTCCGAGCCACTTCCTGGCCCTTCCTGTACATTGTTTTGGTAGGGCACAGCCCCTAGGTGATTCTGAACAGGTATAGAATAGGTAAAATTGTTTGAGACATGGCATATATGAATAAGTTTAATTCTATGTTAGTAGTGCCTGAAACTTTGTATCAGTAAAGGAATCTAGGATGGTAATATTTTAGCATCTAGTTCATTTCTCCATTAAATTTTAATTTCATTTTTCTGTTGAAAAGTTTACATGCTGTCTGTTGGTACATCCTTTCTATGTAACCTCTTCCTCCTCATTTTGTTTTCTCTCCTTTTTCCCATGGTGGAGGCTCTTGAGGTATCTGGTTAACTGAGTCATCCATTCATATTTAAAAGCAGCTCTTAGAAGCTTTAAGCTGGTGTCAATGACAATATCCTTAGTTCCTTCAGTTCTCCAGAAGTGGGACTTTCAGACCCTTGCAGGGAAAGGTGTCTGGTCATCAGACACTTGCATCCTCTAGACACAGTCCCTCCCTTCCACTGTGACAAGTCTACCCTCTGCTCTACTACCCTAGTGTGAGCAGCAGGTCCTCAGGTGACATCTGTGTGCATGCTTGCCTGTGTACTTTCTATCTGCCTGATTCTAGCCTCCCCCTTCTCCCAGAGGGCATGACCTTGCCTTAAATTGGGGGAAATTCTACAAATAGTATGAGCATTAATTCTGAGGTTTCCTCTCTGCTTGGGGGATTTAGATTGTTCTTTTCAATATTCAGCTTTCACATTTTATGGTTTCTTTCTTGTTTTCTGAGTCTATTTCTTCTTATTGTCATTTTAATGGGGCTTTGGTGGGTGGCAAATGTGTAACTCTTTGTTACAAATTGGTATTTTTACTCAAAAAAACCCCCAAACCTTTAACTTAGAATAGTCTTCTCTGTTGTTAACTGGGATCATTTCAGGATAGTTGTACTATATACTATTTATTTTGGTTACAATCCACATGGTCTACTAATCTACCTCACTTGAAAGTTTGATAATAGCTCCTCAGGCAGTTTGAATCTGTCTGAAGGCCTATTGGTGAAAAGCAAATCTCTTAGTGATGACTATCATGGAAGATTCCAAATGTCTGTTCAAGTGTCCTCTCATTTGTCAATCCAGTTGATGAGAACTCTGCTTGTCAAGTTCTATGAGCTATTTTGAGGTTCTAAGCTGTTGAGTGTTTCTTGAAATAAAGTAATATTGTGTAGAATAATATTTTTATTTGGATTTCTACAGATCTGATTTTCAAATCTTGGCTCCATTTGACCTGGGAATCCCAAGAGTAAAAAAATGTCATTTTCTCATTTTTAAAGTGGCAGTGTACAGTACCTGCCAGGATAATTTGGGAACTAATTGAGAAATGCAGGCACCAAGTTAACAAATCACTGGTTCCTGGGATGAATTCAGTACACAGTAACCACAGTCACCAGGACAAGAGCTAGGGAGGACAGTAAAATAAGGGTTCTAAAGGCAGATTGTCAAGGTTTATAACCTGGCTGTGAAGTATATAAGCTGTGTGACCCAGTATTTTATTAGCTTTGTTCAAAAGAAAACAGCGTTATGTACACCATTAAACCTCAGTGTCGTACCACCATGTTTCCTGCTCACATGTGTGGGTTCAGCAGGGTGACTCTGCTGGTGCTTCCTGGCCTCACTCTCAGGTGGGTTAATTCTGACCAGCACCAGTAGAGGTGATTGGGTAAGCTCCCCTCTGATGCACTTATCTCCTTTATCAGCTGGGTCTGGGCATTGTCCCTGGTAGTGGCAGAGTTGCAAGAGAGAAATCAAGTGTGAAAATTCACTTCAAGCATAAGCTTATGCTTCATCAAGTCAGTTAATACTGACTTGATGAAGTGTCCAAATCAAGTCAAATGACCAAGCAGCAGTGGAGGTGGGAGGGTGTCAGGGGGTGGAGTTCTGCCTCTCACCTACTGTAGGCTGGAAAATAACCTTAGAACCTAATCAGTTACCTTCTTCAGGCAAAAACATGATGAAGTGTTTATTTAAGTGAGAGATAGAATACTGTGTGGCTTACGCAAATTCCAATCAAATTCTGTGGTCCCGGATTCTATGATGAGTTGATTCATAGACATCTATGTTTTCTCTTTATGAGAACCATTTAAAGTTTATTTTTTTATGGACACGTTCTATTTCACTCATGGTCTTAACTAACCAATAAATCATTCATATGAAGCATTTTCAAGGCTTCTTCTGTTCTGTTGTTCATGTGTCCTGTGTGTTTTAAACCAGTTCCCTCATCCCTTTTCACCTCTCCTATGTCTCTGTCTCCCTTGCAATTTGTTCATTATGCTGTTACTAGGGCTTAGTGGCTCTTACTCAATATCTATATGAACTGACATTTCCTTTCATTTTTGCTTGATAGAAAGCTGATATATTAAGGGTACTGAAACCAATCCCAACCCTTGTCTTTAAGAATTCATTTCTGGCTACTCTACTAGTTCCAGGCTGGGGGTAGAGAGGATCCTTCTAGCATGGGGGTTAAGGGGACAAGAAGTGTCCTCTGGGTTATTTTATGATTTACTTAACACTGTCAAGCTTTTTTTTTTGTCTGGTGAATCCTACATATGTAATGTCAAAATAAAATTAGATTGTCTAACTTTTAGAAATTAGAATATAATCTGATGTCATAACAAACCTTCAAATTTGTGAATAGTGCCATGGGAACACAGAAGAGTGGGAAGTGCTTGATTTTATTTTAGGTGGAGTGGAAAACTTTTTGAAGAAAGAAAATGTTCCTGGTAAGTCAAATGGGGAGTGTAAAGTGTTTTATGGAGAACAAGAATGTTTGCTAAACTGCAAATTGTTTAGCATGCTTACACTGTTCATAGACACAGGAGCCATATAGTTATAAAACCATTTACTACTTTCTAATGTAGTTATTTGTCCCCCAAATAAATGAGATAGCTCAGTTTTTAAGGGAATTCCTCCAGTAGATTCTTTTTTTAAACTGAAGCCATTTAGCAAACTAGACAAGAAAATTAGACCTCTATTTTACTAGAATGCACACTGTTTGGGCGACTCCCTAACAACAGGAACCAAATATTACCAAAAATGTCTAAATCCAGCAATAATTTTTACTTTAATCTTGATATTTTTTCTGTATGTTGCCAAGGAATATTATTTAAATGTATTATTACATTCAGTTATTTTATGTATTTTAAGTATAACATGCTTAATTCAAAGCATAAAATGCAAACTAAAATATTAACAATAAAATATTTAAAATATTAAAACATTAGCAGATGGATTGATCCTTCCCAGACTGAATTTTAAAATTACGGTTCTTCGCATTTCCTGAAAGATGGACAAAATTCACCACATTAAAAACCTAATTTCTAAGTAGATACAGTATGAATTTTATTTATCAGCAAGAGACCATATTTTCTGAAAGAGGGAAGTTGAAATCTGAGATGATTTACCAAAATTAAATACTTTTTTTCATTCTTTAGATATGCCTTTTACTCTGAAAAGGAATCAGAATTTGAGAAAAATTGGATTATTGCCGTGGAATATATAGGTGCATCCCGCATCCCTACAACTTTAATCAGAGTGCATAAATCCCAGAAGGGCCTTCCACCACGAATCCTTGTTGATACTGACACAGCCCCTGTAATCAGTGACTTCACTGTTTTTCAGAACATAGTTTTGTTGGGTCTAAGCACTGTTGGCAAAGTGCATAAATCTTCAGGTAAGAATTTTAAAAGAACACTTCACAAATATCAAGAATATATCAAACAGCTAGCCAACGAATCAATTAAATCAAAGTATAGATGTCATAACATACTTCAGAAAGAAATTTATGATGTTCTATAGGCACCTTTTGCATTTTCTAGGTGTATTCATTCTTGATATATGGCAGGACCACTGAATGACCATGGTTCTCACCCTCATTGCCTATTCTTTTATCTGGAGTCCATATTAAAGCTTGGGGTATAAAAAGATTGGATGATTTAACTATAATGATTTTGTTATTTTTCCCAGGTGCATTTTCTTTGATTTCATGGAAAATTGCAATGAAGATAGAAACTTCAAGAAAGCTACTTCTAAAGACTTTTGATATACTTTTAGAAATATCTGAGTAAAAACTTCTCAAAATGGCTCAAGACTCGAAAATGGACCACTCTAAATTTTTGACAACCAATGACTTTTAAAAAATGAATATGATCAACATCATGTATCTTTGTAGTTTCTGGTGTTTGAAAATTATGCTAATTTGATAAGATTTGTCCATGCATTCCTACCATGAAATCCAATTTATTACTATGATTATTCTGTTCAAGCAATATTTCTTGATTTTTAAATTAATCAATATTTAAATTTTAAGATATAAGGAGACTGCGTGAAGCTACCAAAAGAATCACTATAAAATTAGCAAATAACTATTAAACTTGTATGTCTCTTTTTGGTGTTATTCTATGTAACATAATTTCATGAAAATCAAAGGGATATACTCTGCTGATTCATAACTAAAATCTGGAACAGTGTGAAATAAAAGAGAAGCAGTCAATTTAAATGTCTATAATTCATAACACTGAACTGGCAAAGTATATACTGATTCATCAATTTTTTTCTGAATGTTTCTGCAGAACCCAAGTTTATAGAAATTACTTGATATATATCAAGTTTTTCCTTCTTTGACCCATAGTTGATAATGAAAAATCCAGGGTCAATTTTTTTAGGAATGTTTCCTTTTAGGAGAAAGAATGTCCAGGATATGGTGATTTCCAGGTTGTCTAATGTAGGTTTTCTCAGGGTTTAGTTCACAGATTAAGTCTACCCACCACCTATTGGTAAGTGAAATTGAATAATTTGGTTTGAATAGCATGAACTTTGAAGTAGAAAAGTTGTAATTGTAATATCAGCTCTGTGACTAGCCAGTACTGGGTCATTGTTCCAGTGTCCTCTGTATTTCAGCTTGCTTGTTGTTATAATAATTAAAATGAAACCTAGTTTGAATGATTATTTTGAGGGTCAATGAAAACATGGATGAAAGGTGACTAACACTCTTCCCAACATGAGGTAGAGATACACAAAAAGCAGCAGTTGTCACAATAATTGAACTGAGAGATGAAGAGATGAATGTATGCTCTTATGCTCTGTTGATGGGACAAGCAACAATATATTAAACTGAAAAGGGAGGCCTTAAGTGAAAATACGCACATTGTGTAGTAAAACTCCAAATCTTCTTTCTTATCTAGAATTTCATCATGTGATAAACCAGGCCTTCCCTCTTAAAGCAGTAAATGGGAAATTTCTTATATTCAGTCAACTCAGTAAGAAAGGCATAAACTTACTGGAAAAACTAAGTGACTTAAATTTCCCAGCCCATACTCTGCAGTACAGCAGTGACCAATCATTAGTTCAGCTCAAAGAGTTTTGAATCAGCTCTTTTCTGCTCCTATTTTAAATATCTAAGGTATACCATGAATGCATATGACATATTACACAAAGCAATATATAGAGAGCTACAGAAAATACTGGAAATTAAATAATTATAATTAATATTCTAATATTTACAGAATATTATCAATGTTTTGTTGCAAAAGAAAAGCAATATAATACTATAAAATCCTCATAGATGTCAATGCTGTTCCTCATTAGGCCTCTTTTTAGAAAGCAATACTTTTAGCTTCAGCTTTGACTTTTAATTTCAAATGCAAAGTGCTGATCTCTCTTTGAGAGTTGTTATCACAAATGTTATATTTATTGTAGTGTAGTTTTGCAGTTGATTGGGAAATCTAAAAATGAAAAACATAGTATTTTATAAACAATATATTGCAACTCTAGTGACTTTATCTAATATCTAATTGTACTGTTGATCGTCCCTTTTCTCTTGTCTAATAGCCTCATCCCTTCTTTGTAGTCCTTGGAAGTAGGTTCAGTAGTTGAGTCATAGCAGTAAGCTATAAGGATGGCTACAATCCTAATTCATTTCTAGGACATGCTAAGGGAACAAACTCTTTGCATCATGCAATATAAATATCAGCCACTTAAGCAACACTAAGAGACAAAATACACAAGGCAATGTGAGCCACCTGACTCTGTTTTATTTATCTAAAATGGATATAGGATCCGTGGGAAAGATAATAGTAGGTAGTTAATAAGAAATCCTCAGCTATGTGTGTTTGAATTTATACACATTTTTAAAAACACTCACCCATTCTTTCTTTATTTCTACCTGGTACTTCACTCTTGATAGAAGATACCATTCCTAATACAGCATTTTTGCTTCCGCACCATGTCATGCTCTCTTTCAACTTCATTTTCTGTGCAGTGGGGAAATTTTCGACATCATTTTAGTTATCTGGCATAATAAAAGAGATTATTCTTTGAATTTCCTTCCAAATATGTGTTAACCAAGCTATAGTCTTTGATCAAAATGATGTGGAAATCCTATTATCATTTGTCATTGTGTCGTTTTGGTTTATAGATCCTAGTTTGTGCTAAACTTTTAAAAAATAATCTTCTTGTGCTTATGGTTACATTATTTTTATTGCTTTTATTTTGGTACATTATCTTTCATTATACTTTTCTTCACATTTTTACTCCCATTATAAAATATTTTTTGAAATTTATAGATTAAACATTTCTTGTCAGTTTTTTATCACAGTATTTATCCATTGATATATTGTTAAATAAGCTAATTGTAAAAACTTCAATGGAAATGATGGCAGAAAATGGAAAGATTGTCACTATATTACAATAAAATCACCTTGGGGTCATTATTACTTAAGGTGAAACAACTTACAATATCAAGAGATGAGGTCCGTAGCCTTTCACAGGCCATCAAATCTAATCTACATATGCTATCCAGGAAAGAAAAAATTAATATTTAGGCAGTTGTAACAGTCTTTCTTCCTAAAAAATAATTGTATTTACAAATAAAATTTTTCTACAAGTTAGATAAAAGGATAATTGTGTTCCTAAGAAATAAGGTATAAAAGTTTAATGCTTAGTAGCTTTTTGAAGAGCTTAAATTGGTAATATTTATTACTAGTAATTCTGAATCTATTGAAAAGGAATAGATTGCAAAATCATTTGGTTGTTTTTGAACTTGTCAAAATTTTGAAGTATTCAGGACCAGACTTTCAGTACTCTATTTGTTTTCCTCTTGCCATGCAATTAATTTTTCATAAATTTTACAAGTCAGAAATGAGGAGAACATTTGATCTAATCAAATGCAATATATGACCAAGTTGTCTAAAGGGAAACTTAATCTTTGGCCAAGCACTTTTTCACCCATGACATATTACTTTGGACATCATTATTTGATTCTGATTGTGAAATGATCATTTCAATCAATACATTGGTGTTATTTGCAATAACATTTGCAAATGAATGATTGCCAAATTCACCACTTTTTCCATAATTTCATTATATAAGAAATTGCTCACTGATCTAAAACTATGAAGAACCAAAGCACTTATGTACTCTTAAGCCATAACTTTGCTGTGCTCTGTGTATAATTTATGGTGTTAGAAGAATGCATTACGATTGCTTCAATAATGTGTTGGGAATAAGGATGCTGATGAGACGTGATGTCATGCATCAATAAATTCATAGCAATATTATCAACATCAAAATAAACATTTTATATTGGGAACTATTTCCTAGGAATATATCTTTCAATCTACATAGTATATAAAGAATTAGTCAAATCTCAAGATTATTGATTAGAATGTTTAAATAACTTACAAAATTTATTTGCATTTTTTTGTTTCTGGAAAAGTGAATGAAAGCTGAAAATATGATAACAAAATGTGATTCTTGAATGGTGGCAGAAGATGGTGTTATATGATGATATCTCAATTATGCCAGAATCAACCTCAGTAAGTTTAGAGAGATAATATGGTTTATAAAATCAAAAGTTTATTATTATTATTGTTAATATTAAAAATACTCTGGCTTTGAGGTAAAGAAAAATCTATCATGATGGTTGTTATAGTTTAGGTATGAAGTGTCCCCCAAAAGCTTATGTTAGACAATGTAAGAAAGTTTAGAGATGAAATGAATGGGTGATGAGATCTTTAACCTGATCAGTGCATTAATCCACTGATAGAGCTTAACTGGGTGGTAACTGTGGGCAGGCAGGGAGTGATTGGAGGAGCTGGGTCACTAGGGCTTTGCTTCTGGGTTAATATTTTGTCCTTGGTGAGTGGAGTGTTTTCTTTGTGCCAAGTCATGAGCTATTTTCTTCCAACACATTCTTCCCTCATGATAATTTACTCACTTCAGGCCCCAAGGAATGGAGTCATCCTTCTATGGGCTGATTCCTCTGAAACTACAAGCCCTAAAATGAACTTTTCCTCCTTTAATTGTTTTTGTCAGGCTTTTTGGTCATAGCAGTGAAAAAGCTGATTATAAAAATAGTAAATACCACAGATTTTGAAATATATGTTAAAATTTTAGTAGGAATTTTGTGCGCTTTGGAAATTTTATCAGAATTTTTCTAAGGCTAATATGCAACAATATTATGGTACTAAAAATCTATTTTCATAAAAATGGATTTATGTTGCAGATAAATTATTTTAAATTGCAAATGATGCTAATTGGTGATATTTAAACACTAGTTAAATTCCAAAGCACAAGGTAAAAAGGGGAAAAATACTAACTTTATAAGTAGCTATACTTTGCTTTTCTCCAAAATATTTTATTCTAAATTTGAGAGTGTGATATATGTTTTGAATATGCTAATACTCTAGATTTTTTTGTTAACAAAGTTTTATTACATGACGTGTATTTCTCCTGCTGTCCTATGCATTTAGAGCAAGTTTTAAGGTTACTAGTATCTTCCACATGACATTTTCATAATTGAACACACTGATTAGCAAATTTAAAAAATATCTATCTAAAAATTCATTTAAAACTTAAGACTTAGGTCAAGCAATTATCTTTGAAAAGTAGAAATTTTGTTTGGGGTTTTGTTTCTACAATTGAGATTCTGGGTTGAATTGATCCTTTGTGTAAAGTCATCAGTTTGAGGTTTATTATATTAAACTTACCATCCCACCAACTGTCTACAGATACGCACAGAGGATCCCCAGAGTCATGGCCACAGTCAGTCCTGTGGGTGGGATCAACTAGTTTACTTAAAAGAGAGGACATAGCATTGGATTTATTCGGCTCATTTCTAGCCTACATACACAAAAATTTTGTCTATCTATTGAGAATATATATATTTGTGTATATATATCCCAAGTGTTTATTCTCTGGAAAAAAATTGTCCCCATTCTCATTACTTTCCTTCTTCTACTTCAAAGCATTTTGCTTTTCATCTCACA